AATCAAGATTTTGTGGTACTTGCATAAAAGGACAGACACATAGACCAAGAGAACGGAACTGAAAAGTCTAGAAATAAACCCTCACATTTATGGCCACATGATTTTTGACAAGAGTGCCAAGACCATTCAACAGAGAAAGAAGAGTCTCTTCAGGGGGCACCTGGGTGGCTCATTCGGTTAAGTGTCTGCCTGCAGCTCAGGTCATGGTCCCAAGGGTCCTGGGGTTGAGCCCTGCATCGGGTTCCCTGCTCAGCAGTGAGTCTGTTCCTGCCTCTCTCCCTCTGCCTCCTTCTTCATGCTCTCTCTCTCAAATAAATAAAATCTTTAAAAAAAAAAAAAAAAAAGTCTCTTCAAGAAAGTGCTCAACTGGGCGCCTGGGTGGCTCAGTTGGTTAAGTGACTGCCTTCGGCTCAGGTCATGATCCTGGAGTCCCGGGATCGAGTCCCGCATCGGACTCCCTGCTCGGCAGGGAGTCTGCTTCTCCCTCTGACCCTCCTCCCTCTCATACTCTCTGTATCTCATTCTCTCTGTCTCAAATAAATAAATAAAATCTTAAAAAATAAAAAAAGAAAAAAAAGAAAAGAAAGTGCTCAAACTAGGATATTCACATGCAAAAGAATGAATTGGGACCTCTACCTCATACCATATACAAAAAGCAACGCAAAACAAATCAATGTAAGGGCTAAACCTATAAAACATTTAGAAAAAACAGGTGTGAATCAGTAACTAATAATAACAGATCCTATTTATTGAGCATTATCCACTTTCAAAGTGATGCAGCCCACTTCACCCTTTCTCACCATATGTTTCCCGTTCACCATATATAAGCCCTAAGCCTATCTTAAAACGATGGTTTAAGTGAGTAAAAAATAGCTTCAAATACTTCTTTTTTTAAGAGATTTTTTTTTTTAAGATTTTATTTATTTATTTGACAGACAGAGAGATAGGGAGAGCAGGAACACAAGCAGGGGGAGTGGGGGAGGGAGAAGCAGGCTTCCCACCAAGCAGGAAGCCGGATGTGGGGCTCGATCCCAGGACCCTGGGATCATGACCTGAGCAGAAGGCAGACGCTTAACGACTGAGCCACCCAGGCGCCCCTCAAATACTTACTTCTAAATTTAAAGTCGTACCTATGAAAATTCCTATATTATTTCTCCACCTTTTAGTTTCTTTTTCAGGTCATCAAAGTTGGACATGAAATAAAGAGTGAGTGATAAGGTACATATAATACATTAGTCATTTTTTTATATCAAAACGCTATTTCAAACATACCTATAGCGAAGCCTTACTACTGGAATCAGGACGTGTCACAGAGGATGAATGTATTTAAATCGCAAGGCTGGCTATTTTGAGATAATAAGTCAACAAATAGCCTTCCCTATTCTCAAACTGTAAAATGGATGTTCTGAAGCTGCTACAGCAGGGGTTAAGTGGTGGTTTCTGTGATTAGTCCATTAACTGTTTGCAAGTTTGCATGAATCAGCACTTTTCTAGGGAAAGATCTACTGCTCTCTTCAGATGCGCCCATGGACAGAACATTACAGATGCCCAATTAATATTTGTTGGAAGAATAAATGAAGGGGGATCTACAGCAGGTAAGAGTCAGTAAACTCCCCAAAACTGCTTCCTTTGTTCCATCTTTCATCACCTTCAAACTCCGGAATCATTCCAGAAGTGTCTTGAGCTTTCTGCTACAACTGCTTCCTCTAACTATTTTTGTGAACAATTATAATTTTACACAATGTAACAAAGGGTCTTACCAAGATTGGGGAATCCATCCTGAAGGGCCCATAACCGAGCCCAAGGGGCAGCAACAGGCTCCTCGGGTTCCTGGTCCTCAGGAATAGAACAGAGTTCCTGGGTGGACACTGTGTCTAAGGAGCTCAGTGTCCCCGAGCTGGAGTGAGAGGACTGGCTGGATGTGGGTGCTGTGCTGGTGGAGCTGGACGTGACTGGAGAGTGTGAGGAGGAGCTGTGTGTCTGGGAGGAGGTGCCTTGAGACTGCGAGAAGCCACCTTGGGACTGGGTACAGGAGCCACTGCCATGGGACTGCTGACGCTTCCCATCCGTCTCTCGAGACATCGCGACCTCAAAAATAAGGGTCCGATAATAAGGTTATGTTTCAAGAAACAAGACTTGCAAGACTTGAAGTTCAAGAGTGAAGAATGGGCAGGGGCGCCTGGGTGGCTCAGTCGGTTAAGCGTCCGACTCTTGATTTCAGCTCGGGTCATGATCTCAGGGTGATGAAATGAGGCCCGTGGCATCCAGGATCTGCGCTGGGTGTGGAGCCTGCTTGGGATTCTCTCTCTCCCTCTCCCTCTGCCCCCTCACTCCACCCACCTCCCCCCCACTCCTCCCCCCACCCCCCCGCACGAGGGCAATCTCTCCTAAAAAATAAAAAAGTAAAGGATAGGCATATTTACATCAGGAAAAAAAATAAATCCAGAGCAAGCATGTTCTGCAAAAGTTAAAATTCTAAGTCTAGATTGATCTATAGTTCCTCTGGGCTGCGCTTTTCATCATATCACTTTCACCGGATAAATTTTTGTATGACAGCCACAAACCACAGGAAAAAGAAAAAAATTATTCAAAGGTTATAAGTAAGTTAAAAGAAATGAACTAATCTGGGGGTGGGAAGGAAGACTTCATAACAGCTTTCATTCATCTAATTTTTTAAAAATTAGAAATGTGGGGCGCCTGGGTGGCTTGGTCGATTAAGCACCTGCCTTCAGCTTGGGTCATGATCCCGGGGTCCTGGGACTGAGCCCCATGTTGGGCTCCCTGCTCAGTGGGAGTCTGCTTCTCCCTCTCCCTCTGCCTGCTGCTCCCCCTGCTTGTGCTTGCTCGCGCGCTCTCTCTCTCCATCAAATAAATACATAAATAAAATAAAATAAAACTTAGAAATGAGGGGTGCCTGGGTGGCTAAGTCAGTTAAGCGTCTGCCTTCGGCTCAGCACTCTCCCTCTGTTGCTCCCCCTGTTTGCTCTCTGTCAAATACAGAAATAAAATCTTAAAAAAAATTAGAAATGAAACTTAAAAGGTATTCATTAATACAATCAACACTACACTTAAATTTCATGTTTTGGAACAAGAAAGGGGAAGGGTCATGTGGCTTGGGATAGAAGATGGGCAAAGAAACTATAAACTAATTCACTGCACCACACCAGGGGTGACCATTTACATAAAATGTCACAGATACCCCTCCTCCCCCAAGCCTGCCCCAGGACGGTGAAGACCACATCCTGTTTGTTCACTCTAGATTCCCTGGCTCCTAACTAAGGGCCAGGCTATTAATGAAGCAGAACACAAAGATTATTCTAAACAACTCCACCTAGCCCTTTGTGATGCTGAGTAACTATAGGGGCTCACCTTTTATCCTAAATGGCCCTCCAGCCCAACAGAATCCTACAGAAACAATTGAGTCACAGGAGACCATAACAGGTTCCCACCCTCACTTTATAGAGTTAATTTGATGGACAGTTAAACTCTGACAACAGAAACTACAGTAAAGTCAAAGTAACTGTCAATCCCTAACTTTAAACCCCTAACATGATTTTTTTATAAAAGGGGGGAGGGGAGTGCATTCTCTCTTCTCTCCAGATACACATACTCAGGCTCTTCCTCCAGGAGAACACAGTAAACATTACTCACACTGACTGTATTTATATAGCTTTCCAGATAAAAAGATCCTGATGACTTTTTCTTAAACCACACCAGGGAGGTGATGCCCGAGCTGAGTGTGCCACTCCAGGACCTGCAGCTCTAATACTACTACCTTAGTCAAGGTTGCAACCTCTAATAGCTTTCTGAGCAACACTTCTCCACTCTGAGAACGGACAAAAGACTGTCAAGAAGTGGCTGCTATCCTCGTTTATTAAGGGTCCAGCAGACTGAAACCACATTAGCCTCAGCCATGAGGAGGAGAAAGTATATGGAAAGATTAGAGGCAGTTGAAACCACAATTTTAGGGCAAACAAGTCTGGAGTCAGATGCCTGAGTCAAACCTTTGCATGACCTTCAGATAGATCACCACCTCACTGAATAGATCTTTAGGATTAAATGAGATGATACATGAACGTTCCTCCCCCAGTAATGCTTGATAATTGGGAGAACAGAATTCCAGTCCCAAAGAATCCGACAGCCGGAAAGGGTTTTACAAAAGCAACACAATTTTTTTTTTTCAAACAGAGAAACTGAGTCCCAAGGTGGACTGGTGCCCTCCTACCCTCTCTTCGCCACCCCACCCCACACACTTACTTATGTACATTCGCAGGGCATCCTCCTACACAGGTCAGTGTGTCTCCAGTTCCTGCAGCGCCTAGCTGCTAAAACTGGTTCTCAATAGGTTTTTTTCGAAATTGAATCCAAAATATGGTAATAATTACTAACATTCATTAACTATTTACAAACCAACTTCCCTCTGATTTTGAAGAACACAACTTTGTCCTTTCTTACCCTGCACGTCTGGACCAGTTTCAGCTTGTAAGTAACAGGGGAAGTGAACTTCACCTCGAAGTTCATCTACAAAGGAAGACAGTCGCCCACGCACTCCTCTCCTCCCCCCGACCGAGGTTAAAAACCACACAAAGTGAAAATTCGGGAGATTCCGCGCGCACTAAGACCCTGGGCACGGGAATCGAACCCCCAAACACCCAAGAGAAGTTCTCCACCACGACTCACCGCGTGAGCCCACCTGGAGCCAAACACTCACAGCAGTCGCAGCCAGCGGAGTGGCGCTAACCGAGCACATACAAACTCCACCCTCAGCCAATTAAATCACCCCTGCGTCGCCGCCGGACCAATGAAGAGCGGCGGATGTGGCCGTCCACACGTAGCCTCAATGTTTGCTGGGAGTTGTAGTTTAAAATGAGGAGCGGGACACTCAGAATCCAGGATCCCGCCGGGTCAGCTCTCCAGCCAATCAGCAGCAGTATTCTGGTCGGCCGCTCTCTCCGGGTTTCCCCCCGACAGGCTACCGCGGCGAGATAGGCCGCGGCCAGATGTGGGGCGGGAGAACTGGCGCCTTGCTCCGGGTGTCGGGGCTGTGGCCGGCAGGGGTGCTCGGAAGGAGACCGCTAAGCTGTAATGCTGCGTCTCTGGCGGGAAGGAATTCGCCCCAGTGTTGGAACTGCGGCGCCCCAGGGGGCCCCATGCGGGAGCATGGGTTCTTCTGCCCACAGTGCCGCGCGCTGCAGCCACCTGACCCCACTCGAGATTACTTCAGCCTCATGGACTGGTACGGGAGGCCATTTCGGGAAACACGCGGGGGCGAGAGAGACGTCAGAGGCTCAGGAGCCAGGGGGTAGGGACGCTAGTGCTTGGGAAGGAGAAGGCAGGACCGGTTAGATCGGTGGGCGGAGCCGTAGAGAAATAGGGGTGGGGCCTGGGAGCACGGAGGGTGGGATTGCGGCCAGTGAGAGAGGAAATTGAGGGGTGAACCTGAAGATAGGGCCTCTGAGGAATGAAGACGAGAAGGGTGGAGGGACTGGAGGGGCGGGGAAGGAACTTAGGGGAAACTGAAGGAGGGAGGCTTCTGTAGAGGGAGACCTGAGGGGCGGGGCCTGAGGGAAGTGTACTGGAGCGGCTGCAGAAAGACTGATTTTGGCCCAACTCGAAATTGGCCCAATTTTAGCAGCTAGGCGCTGCAGACGGATAGGGTCAGAATGGTTAAAGTTGGATTGAGACTTTTAAGAAAGGCGTACTCCCAAAATAAGGGAGTGAAGGAGCTTCCCGGTTTGTGAACACGTGGAGATGGGAGAGTAGTGCCCCTGGAGAGGGCTTGGAAGCTCCCCGGCCCTTTCCCTCATGCTTGTTTTCCATGTGGTTGTTCCTGAGTTACATCCTTTTATAATAAAATAAATCTAGAAAGAAAAACAAAATAGGGTGTAAAAGCACCGGAAAACTTAATATTGTGGTCTGAGTCTAAGGGAGAAATAAGAACTGGAGGGAAAGAGTCAGAAAAGTGGTTGTTTTTCCTGTTTTCCCCCGAACGTGGAGCTTGGAGAGGTGATGAAATTTGGGCAGAGCTAAACTGTTAAGACAGGGCACGCTCCGGGAACGTAAAGTGAAAGGAACTGGGTTAAAATACAGTGAAAGACAAAGATGAAAGGACCTGGGACTTCGAAAGATAGAATGGGATTCAGGAATGGTCCTTCCCCTTAACTCTGGGATGGGCCCTTACCAGTCCCTCTGCACTTAGGATGTGCTGCTGTGACACTATCCTTTAAGTTCTGAAAGCATGCCAAACTTGCTTGCACCTCAGGGACTTTGCATGTTCCCTCTGCCTCTTGGTGACTTTTCTCTCTGATCTTTGATTATTTTTCATCATCATTCAGGTCTCAGCTCAAATGTCATCTCTTTGTCCACCACATGTACCACTTTCTCTGACCCTGTTCTCTTTTCCTTCACAGCACTTTTTGAAGTTATCTCTCTCTACGTGTATATTGCATTTACCCCCATGAGAACAGGAACCAGGCCCATAGTATACAAATCTATAAATATTTGGTGCATGAATTTTATCTCCCAATTTCCTTACAGCAACCGTGCCTTCAGAGTTGACACAGCAAAGCTCCAGACTAGGTACCAGGAACTACAGCGTCTTGTCCACCCTGATTTCTTCAGCCAGAGGTCTCAGGTAGCCTGTTGGCCACCCCAATCATACCCAAACACTAGTGTACATGGGGTGGGTGGCAGTGGCCTTGTGGTGATGTGATTATCAGAGATAGAGCTAAACAACCAGCTCCACCCTGGGGCAGCCTGACCCCAGTTGGCAGACCCTGAACCTGCCCTGCAATCACAGCTTTTACCTGACTTCCCAGAAGAATTAGAATACATTAGTTGAAAATAAAGACATCTCATCCCACACCACTTCTACTTGGGAGACTTCCTTAGTTGTCTGCCCATCAGTATTTTATGAAACAGTTTGTGAATGTAATGTGGCTGATTTGGATGGTAATGAGATTATCTTCATCTCTACTAACAGACTGAAAAGGACTTCTCAGAGAAGCATTCAACCCTGGTGAATGATGCCTATAAGACCCTTCTGGCTCCCCTGAGCAGGGGACTATACCTAGTAAGGTGATTTCCCAACCCTCTGTGCGTGACTACATGCTATCCATTGGGCTGTGGGACAGCTGCTCCCCTGCATTCAGCAGAAGAGTGCTTGAGACCTGAGCTAGTCTAGGGACCCAAAGATAATTAGCCTCAATGATACTGCATGAGAATAGTTTTCTCTGAGTATTTGTAAATCTTACTTGCCCGAGTGCATTATTTTTTTACCATTTGGTAGCATTTAGGGAAGAGTATTTTGGGGGTTTTTTGGTGGGGGAGGGAAGAGTTTAGCACCTTAGAATTTTAGGATTTAATAGAGCCTTTACAAATATCTAGTTCAGTCTCCCAAGTGGAGGAACAACTCCCCTGGGGTAACACAGTTCCAGGTATCAGAGAGGAATCCCGTCCCAGCACTCCTGTCTCTGTCCAACTTTCCCATACCCTACCTTCACATTTTCACTATTAAGACAGTTCAAGGTTTAAAAAAAAAAAAAAAGACACTTCAAGGTTTTTTTGTTTGTTTTTTTGTTTATGAATCGTATTCTGTTCTATGAGTAGGATTTATTACTCTGGCCACAGTCTCTTCAACCAACCTTACTTTTTTCTGTTTTATGTCCCATAGCTAAAGCTCCATGGATTAGAGATTCCTGAAGGGACAGATGATGAAATGGACAGGCAATTCCTCATGGAAATAATGGAAATCAGTGAAAACCTTGCAGAAGCTCAAAGTGAAGCTGCCATGAAAGAGATTGAATCTATTGTCAGAGGTAAAAGATAAAATACCACTGAATGCATTTTATTGCTGTTACAAGTACATGTCCACGGTTAGGTGAAATGAATATAAAGGCTACGTATAGATCATCATAATGATTCAGGGAGTATTTTTTTTTCTTGGTTATACTGAAACCAATTTTGACTGGAGGTTAGACTTGCAACATCTCTAACTTTCTGGAAGGCAGCCTTAAACCAAGAATGTAATAATATTTTGCAGATTGCAATCCTCCTTCCTACCCCATGACATCATTAGATGTTATTATCGTCTCTGACAAGAATAATTAGGCCTTAGAAGTTCATGGAAATGCCCAAGGTCACATTGCAGAGCAAAGACTGAAAAACTGACTTCCAATCGCATATTACTTTGTTTTCCACTTTATTTCACACTGTATCAGGCAGGGTTCTCCAGACAAACAGAACCAATAATATACATGTATATATGGAGAGAGAGGGAGAGAAAGAGAGAAACCTATTTTAAGGAATTGGCTCACAGAATTGTGAGGGCTAACAAGTCCAAAATATGTTGGGCAGACCAGGAGGCTGGAAACTCAAGCAGGACTTCTATGCCTACATTATCCAAGCTAATCTTTTTTTTTTTTTTTTTTTTTTGAAGATTTTATTTATTTGACAGTGAGAGATACAGCGAGAGAGGGAACACAAGCAGGGGGAGCGGGAGAGGGAGAAGCAGGCTTCCTACTGAGCAGGGAGCCCAATGCGGGGCTCGATCCCAGGACCCCGGGATCATGACCTGAGCCGAAGGCAGATGCTTAATGACTGAGCCACCCAGGCGCCCTATCCAAGCTAATCTTTACTTAAAGTCAACTGGTTGTAAATCACATTTACAAAATACTTTCACAGCAATATCTAGACTAGCGTTTGACCAAATAATTGGGCACCATAGCCCAACCAAGTCGACACATAAAATTAACCATGCCATGTAGAAGAAGTTCCAAGTTCTCGCTCCAATTGTATGCACATATGTACTTTCACAAATATTTGTGGCATGCCCGCTGTGTATCAAGCATTGTGCAAGATACCAGTGAACGAGAAAGACCCGTGTCTTCATGGAGTTTATATATTCCAACTCAACGTGTCCAAAATGGAATTCATGAGCCTCTCCCCTCCCTCCTAAAAAAAAAAAAACCAACCTATTCCTCTGCTGATGTTCCCTAAGTGAATGACACCATCCGGTTGCACAAGTCCAAAACACTGAGGAGGCGTTCTTAACAACTTGTCCTCCCTTACCCCCATAGACAGTCATCACCAAATCTTGAAATGCTGACCTTCTAAATATGTCCCAAATCTGTCTGTCTTCACTGCCAGCACCCTGTTCCAAACTGCCATTCTTTCTCACCTGGACAACTGCAGTAGCTCCAGACTGGTCTAGCTATACTTAAATCGAATATATTCCTATACTGTCACTTATGAGATCTTTTGAAACCCAAATCTAATCATATTACACTTGGTTTTGCTTTAAAACTTTAAGTGGCTTCCCACTGCTCTCAGGTTAAAGACCAAAGTCTTTAGTAAAGCATACAAGGCCCTGTATGGTCTGACCTCTGCTTCCTCCCATTTGCCCCTCCACTCTAGCCACACAGGCCATTTCTAGTTCTTCATCTCTACCAGGCACCTTTCTACCCTAGGGCCTTTGCACATGCTGTTCTGCTTAAAACCCTCTTCTCCTCCTTCCTCTAGTGAACTCTTCCTCTTCCAGATCTGAGGGCAATCATCACTTCCTCAGAGAACCTCTTTATCTGTACCTTTTGGCAGTGGATACCTCCCCCTTACAGGACTAATCACAGTTAAAACCTTACTGTTCTACATGAGATTATTTGACCAATGTCAACCTCCCTCCCTCCCTCCTTAGACTAGAAGTTCTGCAGAGGCAGAAATTGTTTCTGCTTTTTGGTCCCCTCATATCCTCAGCCCAGGTAGTATATACAGCCCATGGTGTATATAACATGGGCTCAGTAAATATTAATTGAGTAAATAAATAATGAAAAAAGAAGCTAAAATCAATAAAATGGTGGGGGGGGAGTCTATCAGGGATGTATCAACAGCCTTTCGGCTGGGTGGTGTTGGAAGAAGACCTCAAGGCTTACGGTCATAAACCCCCTCTGCACAGCTTTGGAAGGCAGAGGAACATGACGCTCTGCTGTGAGCAGGTCTTGGGTGCAGTGTCAACACTGCCATTGACTTTACATGTAACCTTGAACAAGCAGCTTCACCCCTCTAAGCCTCAGTTTCCTCATCTGTAAAATGGAGATAACATTAATACTGGTTGTTGCAAGGATTAAATTAAATCAAATAAAACATGTAAAACACATAACACAGTGCCTGGCCCATAGCAGGTGCCCAGTCACTGGTGGGGGTTATTCTAGCCCTATAGTGAATGTCTGGTTTCAAACAGGTCACTGACCTTCATTTAGATTAATTCCTAATTTTCCTCCCCTATGAGCATGTGCTAAGGCCCAAAGTAAGCAAATATTCAAGGGCATAGAGCTAGTTAGATCTGGGCAGAACTCCTGAGCCCCTAGACTCCTAGTCCAGTGTTCTTTTGTCAACACCACGTTACTAGTTTCCCACAGCTGTCTAGGAGTCTGGAGACTTGGGGTCTGCTCCCAGCTCCTCCACTCAACCAACCATATGACTAGGGCCATCTCCCAATACCTGTAACTGCCTACAAAGGAGATATAACATATTTGAAAGTGCTTTGAAAGCAGGCACCATATAAGTGATTGATACTTTTTATATCTGGAAAACACATTTACAGTAAAACTCTTCATTTCCTAATGAGGACACAGAAACACCAGGTAGCTGCTCCTTTACCTTATCTGGCATCTTCTCTCTTATGGTACAATATGATCTAAGTGTTTCATTTTCCTGGGAGGCTGTATAATTTGCAAGTGGTTGTTTGAAACACTGTAATGCCCTCCCCATAGGCAATCCCAGTTTGCTAATTTTCTCCTACCTGAAATCTGGAAAAGTCAGACTGCTTGGTGGAGACAATCAAAGCATTTCCTTGTCCTTTTTTTTTTTTTTTTTAAATGATTGTATAGCCGTTTTACAAGCCTTAGTGATTGCCCCTCAGACCTTTCAGAGGTAGAAAAACATAATGTTAGTAGGGTCAGCTACACTAAACAGGAGCTGCTGGGGAGCCTGGGTGGCTCAGTCGGTTGAATGTCCGACTCTTGGTTTCAGCTCAGGTCATGATCTCAGGGTTGCGGGATTGAGCCTCAATTCGGGCTCTGTGCTCAGCGGGGAGTCTGCTTGAGATTCTGTCTCTCACCCTCTGCCCCTCCCCCGCACACATGCGTGCACCCTCTCTCTCTCTCTCTCAAATAAAGATAAATAAATCTAAAACAAAACAAAACACAGGAGCTGCCATCATGGGACATGTGGACACAGGGCTTATGAGGCCTTACCCTGGAATCTAAGCTCCCTGTTGTATTGTGTTGAAACCAGCTACCAAGTGTTACCTTCACATCGTTAGTCTATATAAATAGAAAGATTAAGATAGTCATTTTCTCTTTCAGCTAAACAGAAAGAATTGACTGACAATGTGAGCAGAGCTTTTGAACAAGGTACTTTCTTCATGTCTTAACTTTCTTAAATGTGCAAAGAAACTGTAAGCACTGAGGTATAACCATCAATTCAATAAATAGCTATTTTATACCCATCCTATGATAAGTACATGGGGAGCTATAAAATATAGGCAAGTGGACATTTCTCCCTTCAAGGATTCACAGCTTGCTAGAGAAATAAGCTGTGTGCCAAAAACTGTGATATGCCAGTGAAAGAGTAGATGAAAGTGCTTCTGTTCCTCTTTAGCAAGTAGAAGTTAAGGTACGGGATGTAGGCTGAAGCCAACACAGGCAGATCCTGAGGGCAAGGCTGCACAGTCGACATTTGGTAAAGCCTGCACACCCCTTTCCTCTGCAAGCCCAGAAGGAGAAGCCCACAGCAGAGCTGTGCCCAAATTTCAAAATAGGAATGTTCATCCTGGTCCCCATTGCCCCTGGCTTTCAGCTCAAAGAGATTCAGTCTATTTCTGGCTATTTTGAAGTAAGAACAGTCTTTCTCTCCATCCCAGACTTGTGCCACCCCTTAAATAAAGGAATAATGGCCCTTTGGCTGAAGGATCATTTGATTGCAGGAAGCCGAAGGCCACTCAAGCTAGCCCAGCTAGTTAAAAAGAGGTTATTATAGCTAAAAAGAGGTTATTATAAGGAATTAGGACTATGTCCCCAAATCCAAAGAGAAAGTCCCTGTGATGATTATAGTATACAGTGTTATATGAGCCCTTCTGGGGCAAAGCCTGGGAACCGGAAAGCAGTCTGAAACCAAAACTGCAGTCCTGGACTCGATGCCTCTGGCAGTTTCATTCCATCCTCTTCTCCTCATTATAAGCCGGTTCCATCCGCTTCCTCATTAGCGTACGGTGCTCCAAAATGGCCTCCCCCACCGGTGACTCCTTAGTTCGCCTAGGTCCATTACCTTATAAGAGCAAGGACTTTGACCATCTGACTAGAGTCCCCTAGACCCAACTCTAGATTCCCAAGAGGGGGGATTTGGTTGGCCCAGCTTGAGCCAGATGTCCACTCAAGTCCAGTCAGCTAGTGCTGAGGGAACAGGCTTATACAGGGTGCCATCCAGTTTGCAAGGACTGTAGAAGTCTATTCTGACACAGAGGCAGAGGAAGGGTCTCTGAATATATGTTAGGGAAATACAGATTAACAGGCTGATATGGCTGCCTGAAATCCATGAACCCAACCCACTGACTATTCAGGTGTTCCACCAGGGCTCACCCCCATCTCCTACTGCACTTTTGTAGATTTTTTTTTTCGTAGATTTTAAGAAGAATAAATAATATTTAAGTACAATTTAAGGAATAAAAACAGAAGGAACACCCATGTCCCCACCGCCCAGCTTAAGAAATAGAACATGCAAAGAAGATATACAAATAGTCAACAACTATGGAAAGATGTGCAACATCACTAATCATTAGGCAAATGAAAATCAAAACCACAACGAGATACTGATTAAGATGGCTAGTATTAGAAAACTCAGAAAATAACAAGTATTGGTGAGGGTCTGGAGAAGTTGAAACCATTGTGTTGGCGGGGATGTAAAATAGTGCAGCCACTACGGAAAACATTATGGTATTTCCTCAAGGAATTAAACATAGGATCACCATAAGATCTAGCAATTCCACTTCTAAGAATATACCTGAAGAATTGACAGCAGGGACTCTAAAGAGCTGCTTGTATGCTGTCAAAGGTAAAGCCAGATACTACTTAAAGTGGTAAGGATAGATTTTAATCAGTAATAACTATTGCAATAGGGAAGAGTCTGGTGTGAACTGAACTCCTGATTATACAAAGGTTACTGGGCGTTTTAAAGAAAGAATGAAGGGCACGTGGGTGGCTCAGTTGGTTAAGCATCTGCCTTCAGCTCAGGTCATGATCCCAGGGTTCTGTGACTGAGCCCAGCATCAGGCTCCCTGCTCATTGGGGAGTCTGCTCCTCCCTCTCCCTTCCGCCCCCCCTACCCCTGCCCCCCCGCTCATGGTCTCTCTCTCTCTCTCTCTCTCTTAAATAAATAAATAAAATCTTTAAAAAAAAAAATAAGGAGAATGAGGGAGTAGGGAGGGGAATGAGCATGGTCTCAGTAGAGTCTGGGAAATGAAAAATTACAAAAAAGGGAAGGTGGTGGTTTCATGTGAAACTGATCTGGTTTTGCTAACTGGGGCTTATTAAAGTTAGGCTTCTACCCTCCCTCAGACACTGGGAGACAGGGGTCCTATCTTCTGGTGTTAGCTGCAACAAACAGTAAGAAAGAAACAGGAAGAAGAGACATTCTTCTTTCCTCTGAACAATGTAAGTCCATTTCTCATTCGATCACCCTTTGTTTATTAAGGACTAGCTGAGCCATCTGTTGAGACTTGGTAGAAGAGGATATTTGCTGGATGACGTGAGCAATCAGGCATTTAATGAGGAGCATCTCTATGGAAACAAAAAGAAAACAAAGGCTAATGGTGGGAACAGTATAAACCCAGTTTCTGAGTCCAGAGGGCGGGCAGTCACTTGAGAAGACACTGAACTCTTAAGCATCTTTACATGGTGGTGTGAGGATGGCAGTGACAATCCGATAGATTTCTTATTTTATAGTTGGACTGTTGGTAGTGATGGCATAGACATGAACATCACAGCCATGGCTATTTCCCAGAGCAGAACATGGAGGACACAGGAGTTCTGGTGGACCTTTAGGGCAGCCCAAGTGGCAGCAAGTCCAGGCACAAAGGTTGCCCACGCGTGATTTGTAGGGATGAGTTCTTTGATGCTTATATCAAGTTGTCTGGCCTTAGCTTACAGGGCGTTTTCAGATCCTGGAGGAAAGGGCGACCACAAGAGAGCCTGAGTCCCAAAAAGGATTAGGTTTTAGTTCTTAGTGATGCCAAGTCAGGAGGGAAGGAGAAAAATGGGGAACAGCGCTTTGGAGAGTTGTAGCCAGATATTCAAGGAAACTAGGAGAATTAAGAATTTGCTAAGGGAGGCCGCCTGGGTGGCTCAGATGGTTAAGCGTCTGCCTTCGGCTCAGGTCATGATCCCAGCGTCCTGGGATCGAGTCCTGCATCGGGCTCCCTGCTCCTTGGGAGCCTGCTTCTCCCTCTGCCTCTCTCTCAATCTCTCTGTCTCTCATGAATAAATAAATAAAATCTTTAAAAAAAAAAGAATTTGCTAAGGGCTAAAAACAAAAAAAGAAAAAAAAAAGAATTTGCCAAGGGCTGACAAAATGTGTAAGATGGCAAGATCCAGTTTGTTTATAGGAAGAAAATAAAACCTCAAGATAGATTCCAGGTGTGATACACTTTTCCACTGTCATAAAATTTCTATCTATAGTCAATCCCCTTTTTAGTCAAAGGTTATCAAGGTAAGAATAGTTTTGTTTACAAAATAACTTAAGTTGCATTAAAGTTGGCCTAATTATCCACATGAATGCAACAAGAATAGTAATCAACAATACAGACCTTTTTGGGGTTTTTTTTAAGTAATTGATTTTTTTTAAAGCTTTTATTTATTTGAGAGAGAGAGAGAGAGCACATGAGAGGGGGGAGAATCAGAGGGAGAAGCAGGCTCCCTGAGTAGGGAGCCCAATGCGGGACTCAATCCTGGGACTCCAGGATCATGACCTGAGCCGAAGGCAGTCGCTTAACCAACTGAGCCACCCAGGCACCCCTTGAGTAATTGATTTTTTTTTTTTAAGATTTTATTTATTTAACAGAGACAGAGATAGCGAGAGCAGGAACACAAGCAGCGGGAGTGGGAGAAGGAGAGCAGGCTTCCCGCCGAGGAGGGACCCTGATGCGGGGCTCGATCCTAGAACCCTGGGATCATGACCTGAGCCAAAGGCAGACGCTTAACGACTGAGCCACCCAGGCGCCCAGTAATTGATTTTTTAAAAAAGATTTTATTTATTTTACTTGAGAGAGAGGGGGAGAGAGAGAGAGAGAGGGTGGGGCAGAAGAGCACAAGCAGGAGGAGCAGCAGAGGGAGGGGGAGAAGCAGGCTCCCCGCTGAGCAAGGACCCCAATGTGGCATCGATCCCAGGACCCTGGGATCATGACCTGAGCCGAAGGCAGACGCTTAACCGACTGAGCCACCCAGGCATCCCAAAACTTTGTCATTTTAACAGAGAAAACCAAACTCTGGTTTTGTCAGTACACTATTGAGATTAAAGTTCATTTCTTTTTTTTTTTTTTTTTAAAGATTTTATTTATTTATTTGAGAGAGAGAGAGAGAGACAGCATGAGAGGGGAGCGGGTCAGAGGGAGAAGCAGGCCCCCCGCCGAGCTGGGAGCCCGATGTGGGACTCGATCCCAGGACTCTGGGATAATGACCTGAGCCGAAGGCAGTCGCTCAACCAACTGAGCCACCCAGGCGCCCGAGATTAAAGTTCATTTCAAGAGGCGCCTGGCTGGCTCAGTCAGTGGAGTGTACAAGTCTTGGTCTCAGGGTTGTGAGTTCGAGCCCCACATTGGGTGTAGAGATTACTTAAAAAATAATAATAGTAAAATCTTTTTTAAGAATTAAAAAGTAGGGGCGCCTGGGTGGCTCAGTTGGTTAAGTAGCTGCCTTCCGCTCAGGTCATGATCCCAGCGTCCTGGGATCCAGCCCCGCATTGGGCTCCCTGCTCCACGGGAAGCCTGCTTCTCCCTCTCCCACTCCCCCTGCTTGTGTTCCCTCTCTCACTGTGTCTCTCTCTGCCAAATAAATAAATAAAATCTTAAAAAAAAAAAAAAGAATTAAAAAATAAAGTTCATTTCCAAAAAAAAAAAACTATAGGCACACCTGGATAGCTCAGTCAGTTAAGTGTCTACCTTTGGCTCAGGTCATGATCCCAGTGTCCTGGGATGGAGCCCCACATTGAGCCCCACATCCAACTCCCTGCTCAGCAGGGAGCCTGCTTCTCCCTCTCCCTCTGCTGTTCCCACCACTTGTGCTCTCTGGCTCTATCTCTCTGTCAAATAAGTAAATAAAATCTTTAAAAAAAAACAAAATCAGGGGCGCCTGGGTGGCTCAGCCATTAAGCGTCTGCCTTCGGCTCAGGTCATGATCTCAGGGTCCCGGGATCGAGCCCCGCATCGGGCTTCCTGCTCTGCAGGAACCCTGCTTCTCCCTCTCCCTCTGCCATTCCCACCACTTGTGTTCTCTGGCTCTATCTCTCTGTCAAATAAATAAATAAAATCTTTTAAAAAAAACAAAATCAAAAAACAAACAACAAATATATATATATATAAATCCACTTAGCCAGCTTTGACCTCACAACATAAAATTCCTTTTCCACAAACCTTCTACAACTCAATATCCATTCATATTTTGTTCCATTCTTTCCCTCTTTCACATTCTACTTTAGGACAAAATTACTCTCTTTTTATCTGAAAGGAAAAACACTCTTCATTCTTTACATACTTTTCATATAAAAACACATCCTACTTTTCTTCCATTCTTTGTATACAAAGTCGTTTCCCTTCAATCTTGTTACTCGTAGTCTTATTTTTTTATATATTAATTATAAATTTTAACCATTGGCAAACTTTATTTTACAGAGAAAATGAGGAAATAGACAATTGAGAACTATAATGTACCAGTATTCTGTAGTAGATAAGCAAATTTTATGAATATACCATCTCATAAGCTATAGAGGTATATGTTTTTTATAATATTACTTTTTTTAATGTGGCAAGGACATGTTTATTAAGAGATCCAAGATCAAAAAAAAGAGAGACCCAAGATCCTTGGCTTCTCTGTACCATATAAAAATAAATAGCCAAAAGTATATAAACTTAAACTTTTGCTTAATAGTGAATGTTTTAACACTTTATCTTATTTAGAAATTATATATATATTTAATAAAGATCTATTATTTAACTTAGCTTACCATGACTCTAAGGTTCCAAGTTGCCAAAAAGATTTTGGAAATGATTTTTAGGCAGCATATTATAAAACATAATTATCATTATAAATAAAGTTTGTCAGGGACACCTAGGTGGCTCAGTCGGTTAAGCATTTGCCTTCGACTCAGGTCATGATCCTAGGGTCCTGGGATCAAGCCCCACATCGGGCTCCCTGCTCAGCAGGGAGCCTACTTCTCCCTCTCCTCCCTTCTCATTCTCTCTCTCTCCCTATCTCTGTCTCTCTCTCAAATAAATAAAATCTTTAAAAAGAATAAAAATAAATAAATTCAATTACTTTAAATTCAATTAATTAACATATAATGTATTATTTGTTTCAGGGGTATGGGTCTGTGATTCACCAGTCTTATATAATACCCAGTGCTCATTACAACATATACCCTCCCTAATGTCCATCACCCAGTTACCCCATTCCCCACTCAGTTTGTTTCCTAAGATTAAGAGTTTCTTATGGTTTGTCTCCCTCTCTGATTTCGTCTTGTTTCATTTTTTCTTCTCTCCTCTATGATTCTCTGCCTTGGTTCTCAAATTCCGCATATCAGTGAGATCATATGATAATTCTTTTTCTGATTGACTTATTTCGCTTAGCATAATACCCTCTAGTTCCATCCACGTCATTGCAAATGGCAAGATTTCATTTTTTTGATGGCTACGTATTATTCCATTATATATATATACCACATCTTCTTTATCCATTCATCTGTCGATGGACATCTCAGCTCTTTCCATAGTTTGGCTATTGTGGACATTGCTGCTACAAACATTGGGGTGCGGTGACCCTTCGGATCACTACATTTGTATCTTTGGGGTAAATACCCAGTAGTGCAATTGCTGGGTCATAGGGAGGATACAACTCTTTTAAGGGATTTTTATAAATTAATTTGGTAATACCATCGGGAGATAGGGAAATATACATATCAGACATACATAAATATACAGACATGCAAATACAGATCTCACAGGTTTGTTTTGTTTTGTTTTTAAGATTTTATTTATTTGACAGAGAGAGACATGGTGAGAGAGGGAACACAAGCAGGGGGAATGGGAAAGGGAGAAGCAGGCTTCCCGTGGAGCAGGGAGCCTGATGCAGGGCTCGATCCCAGGACCCTGGGATCATGACCTGAGCTGAAGGCAGACGTTTAATGACTGAGCCATCCAGGCACCCTGCACAGTTTTCATTTTAAAACTTTATCTGTGGGCGCCTGAGTGGCTCAGTTGGTTAAGCGACTGCCTTTGGCTCAGGTCATGATCCTGGAGTCCCGGGATCGAGTCCCGCATCGGGCTCCCTGCTCGGCAGGGAGTCTGCTTCTCCCTCTGACCCTCCCCCCTCTTGTGCTCTCTTTCTTTCATTCTCTCTCTCAAATAAATAAATAAATTCTTAAAAAAAATAAAATAAAAAAATAAAACTTTATCTGTGATTCAGACTGGCTACCTTGGTCAATAGAGTTAGTTTTATTCTTGCTTAAATGAAGCCTCACCTTAACATCTCTGTTTATTTCAGATGATTTGGAAAAAGCCAAGAAAATGTTAACAAAGATGAGATACTTTTCAAATATAGAAGAAAAGATCAAGTTAAAGAAGATTCCCCTCTAACGATTACTAGTATAAAAGTTTCCAAAAAAATAAGTTTCAAAAATAAAGTTCTTGTATATTTCTTTTCTGGCTTCTGTTAATTGAGACTAGAGATGCATTCACCGCTTTTACCATCTTAGTTAAACCTGTGGCTCAGGCATTAATGGATGGCAAAGTTTACCATGCGGGAGGAAACAGTGTAGCCAGAGCTTGGGTGTTCAGTTCTTTGTGTGATCCTTGATACAGCATGCTCCCCATCTAGGCCAGTAAAAGTAGGGATGGGGCCAACTTGAGGCTCTGGAGAAAGGGTTGGCAAACTTTTACTGCAAAGGGCCAGATAGTAAATGCTTTAGGCTTTGTGGCCCATACTGCCTCTGTTATAACTGCTCAACTCTGTCATGATAGCATTTTGTTTACAAAACAAGCAGTGGGTTAGATTTGACCCAGAGATTCCCAACCTCTGCCCTAGAACCATATCTTCTTTCTAATGGCCGGCCCTTCACTAGTGCCCTTGTTAGTATAGTCTTAGGGCATTCAGTTTAGTAACCATGCAAAGCTGCCTAAGGATTTCTTAGGCCTACATTTAAAAATGTAGGTAATATTATCAGGAGTTAGTCTGGTGGGGCCATGATGGGTGTAGAGATTACGAAAAAGAAAAAGACAGAAATTCCAAGAAATAGAGGCGCCTGGGTGGCTCAGTTGGTTAAGCGACTGCCTTCGGCTCAGGTCATGATCCTGGAGTCCCTGGCTCGAGTCCCGCATCGGACTCCCTGCTCAGCGGGGAGTCTGCTTCTCCCCCTGACCCTCCCCCCTCTCATGTGCTCTCTCTCTCAGTCTCTCTCTCTCAAATGAATAAATAAAATCTTTAAAAAAAAAAAAAGAAAAGAAATAACAACTCTTGGAAATTGAAGAGTTTCCTTCAATTTGTTGTTTAAATTGAAAAATCAGAGTTCTGAACCAAGGTTCAATTCCTAGAGCTTAAAATTGCAGCCCCTTTGCGTCCTCCCTCACCCTTGTCTAAGAATTTATATCTTGTGAATCCTGATCCTATTCTACTCAGTTTGTTAACATTTTAGGATTTATGGATCCTCTGAAGGCAAATTAACCACAGCAGCTGTCTGGCTTAATGGTATTTAGGAATATCAGTACAATCACCAGCCCTCTTACATTTTACAAGGAGAATGAGTTACTTGTCTAAAAACACACAGGGAGTCTTTAAGTGAACAATTACAATGCAAGCAAATGTCCTGATTAAATTGGGTGCCTCTGTAAAGAAACAGGAGATGAAAGTAGTGTTTGAAATAGTTCTGCAATCTTCATTCCTTTTTCAGAACGATGATCAGGGACCAAAACAATCTGACCACAAAAAGAAATCAGATAAACATTTTTGGAGGAACTTCAAAGAAACTTTTCCCTTACCTGCTGCCATCAGCTAGAAAGACTACTAGGCCTCCCAGCTAACTACTTCTGATTTAGGGAATAAATAAAAAAGACTTTATTTCTAAGTGTAATGACTTTTGTTTTTTCTTTTTTGTTTTTCCTTCACTCTTCCAAAATCTTTCCCTGTTAGGGTAAAAGTCCAAGTTTAGCGGGACTTCTAAATCCAGGAACCCTTGCAAGTGTTCCCTGTCAAAGCCCTATGAGGAGGTAGGCTTCTAGACAACTGGAAGGTTATCAGCCCTATTTGGACTAGAGTTTTTTGGTTTTCCTTTTTTTTTTTTTAAGTTTATTTAAGTAATCTCTACACCCAATGTGAGGCTGGAACTCATGACCCCAAGATCAAGAGTTGCATGCTCTTCTGAATGAGCCAGCCAGGCACCCTTGAATTAAAGTTTCTTTTTTTTTTTTTAAGATTTTATTTATTTGTCAGAGAGAGAGAGAGTGAGAGAGCACAAGCAGGGGTAGTGCCAGGGAGAGGGAGAAGTAGGCTCCCGCTTAGCTGAGAGCACTGATACAGGGCTCAGTCCGACCTGAGCCGAAGGCAGATGCTTAACCAACTGAGCCACCCAGGCATCCCTGAATTAAAGTTTCTGACCAAGTGAAGCAAACTGAGCCCTCACCTCCCTCCCCACATCATTCCCAATATAGAAAAAATTTATCAGAACAAGTAAGAGGTTTTGACTAATTTGTGGTTATTTCTTCTCAGACTCTGTTGTCAGAAAGGCCCAGTATTATGGATTGGATGTGTCTCCCCCCACCCCACCCCCCAGAAAATTCATATGGTATGGTGAAGCCCTAACCCACAGTGGGGCTATATTTGGAGATGGTGCCTCTAAAAATTAATTGAGGTTAAATGAGGTCATATAAGATTCCCATCAGACAGGATTCGTGTCTTTATGAGAAAAGACACCAGGGAGCTCCCTCACTTGCTCCCTACACTCATGTACGAGGGAAAAATATCTTTTTTTTTTTTTTAAGGTTTTATTTATTTGTCAGAGAGCAAAATTGGAGAGTGGCAGGCAGAGGGAGAATCAGGCAAGGAGCCTGCTTCAGGACTCGATCCCATGACTCTGGGATCATGACCTGAGCTAAAGGCAGACGCTCAACCGACTGAGCCACCCAGGCATCCCACAAGGGAAAAAGATCTTGTGAGAAAGCCAGAGGGAAGGCAACCAGGAAGTGACTTCTCACCGGAAACTGAAACTGACCATGCTGGCACCTTGATCTTGGATTTCCGGCCTCCAGACCGTGAGAAAATTGACTTCTGTTGTTAAGTCACCCAGTCTGCAGTATTTTATTATGGGGGCCTGACCTGAGTGATACACCTGGATTTGAATCCCAGCTCTGCCACCTATGTGTGTGAGGCTACAATTATGCTAAGCTTCATTTCCTCATCTTTAACATGGTGATAATAGAATGTATTTCACAGGGTTGTTGTAAGGATCAAATGAAATAAATTAAGCAAATTGCTTAGCCCAACACATAGCACATAGTAAGCACTCAAATGTTATTTTTAAAATTATAATGACTGGGCGCCTGGGTGGCTCAGTCATTAAGCGTCTGCCTTCGGCTCAGGTCATGATCCCAGGGTCCTGGGATCGAGTCCCACATCGGGCTCCCTGCTCAGCGGGAAGCCTGCTTCTCCCTCTCCCACTCCCCCTGCTTGTGTTCCTGCTCTCGCTATGTCTCTCTCTGTCAAATAAATAAATAAAATCTTAAAAAAATAATAAAAATAAATTAAATTATAATGACTAATTTTATTATTTTTACTTTGGCAACAAAGTCATGTCTTTCACAGCAGAGTCAACATTACCCATTCAGCAGAGTTTCAAGCACCTACTCTGTGTAAGCGAACATTCAGCCCTGGGATAGATGCACAGAACAGTTAGATGCATCCTGTCTATTTGGGAGAGGTATTTTATACCAATAATCAAAACAATAATAAAAGTTCCCATTTGCTGGGGAGACAGGCTGGCTCAGTCGGTGGAGCCTGTCACTCTTGCTCTCAGGGTCATGAGTTTAAGCCCCACATTGGGTGTAGAGATTACTTAAAAAAAAAAAAAAATCAGGGAAAAAAAGTTCCCATTTGCTCCATAGTTACTATGTGAAGTACTTTGCATGAATCCACCAGATTAAACCCAGTTTAACTCACTTTACAGATGAAGAAACAAGTTCCCAGAAGATAAGAGTCAAGAGCTAGGATTCAAACACAGGTCTACCTAAGCCTATGCTCTTAGGGAGGCTGAACCTACCAAATTAAGTACCATCCAAGAAGATTAAACAATTTGTAACCAGGGGCCATTTACCAGGGCATGCATCTTGCCAAACAGAGGCAGGACTTGATCCAAGTCCCTTTTTCCAAGGCTTGCACATACAGCTTCACTGGGCATAGGGAGGGATCGCTCCCAGGTGTAATAACCAGGTAAGAAGGTTTCAGGGAAGGGGCGCCTGGGTGGCTCAGATGGTTAAGCGTCTGCCTTCGGCTCAGGTCATGATCCCAGGGTCCTGGGATCGAGCCCCGCATCGGGCTCCCTGCTCAGCGGGAAGCCTGCTTCTCCCTCTCCCACTCCCCCTGCTTGTGTTCCCTCTCTCGCTGTGTCTCTCTCTGTTAAATAAATAAATAAAATCTTAAAAAAAAAAAAAAAAGGTTTCAGGGAAGAGGGGGAATAGAATCCAGACAAGCAGAGAGAAGCTGTGTCAGGTGTCCCCAAGACCCACCCCAGACGCAATGACTCCCTAGGAAATCTCACAGGACTTGGTATATCATCCTACTCATGGTATGATGTATTACAGTGAAAGGATATAAAGGTAACTCAACAAAGGGAAAAGGCACATGGGATGAAGTCCAATGGCAACCAGGTACAAGGTCTTAGGGGTCCTCTCCCAGGGAGTCACACAGGGCACGCTTCATTCCCCCTCCAGGACAAGCTGTGACAATCTGTAAGGGAGGCTCATTAGAGACTCAGTACCCAGACTACTTCTTGGGCACTGGTCACATGAGTTCTCTGCCTAGCGTGTGCCACAATTCCAGACTCCCAGTAGGAAAACAGGTATTCAGCATAAACTACATTGTTTCTGCAAACAATTTAGGCACAGTGGGCCAGTCTTATCAATTCTGGGAATAAGTAAACTCTCCCCAAATCTGAATTCCCAGCCAAGGGCCAAGCTTGTCCGCAGGCTTTTCTAAGGATACGCAATCTCAGGACTGCTAGGTTAACTTGTTCCTGCACAGAAGCCAAGGGGAGTTCCCATCATAGCAGAGGGAATTATATAACAATCTATAACCAGAGAGGAAGGCACCCCCATTGCTGACAGGCTTTTTCCTGTCTCTGGCTGCCATCAGGTAAAGAGAAAGATGCTGCTTTGCTGAGTCAAGATAGCAGTCATGCCCCCTAGCGCGTTCAATAGCAGGTGACAAATGCCTGAAGCAGACTTGGATGCAAAGCTTTACTGTGACTAAGAATTTCTTTGATTCTGTCACTTTTTGTGACACGTGAAATATATCAGAGGTGGCCAGATGAAAAAATACAACACACCATTTTTTCGTTTCCAGGGGTTGCTGTCAAGAGGCAAAAGAATCATCAGAAACATATCACCAGAGTTCCAAGGGTTAAGGGCTTCAGGCAGGAAACAAACACATGG